ACAATAACTTACTGGGATTTTGACTGAAATTGCTTTGAATCTATAGATCAAGCTGGCAAGAAATGACATCTTGACAATGTTGAGTCTTCCTGTGCATAAATATGGAACATTGCCTCATTTACTTAGTTCTTTGATTTCTTTCATCAGAGTTCTGTAGTTTCCCTCATATAGATCTTGTACATATTTTGTTAGATTTATACCTGCTAATGTAAATGGTATTGTTTTTAATTTCAAATTCCACTAATTCATTGCTGGCATATAGGAAAGTGACTGACTTTTGTATAAATAACCCCATATCCTGTAATCTTGCTATTCACCTGTTGTGTCCACTTTGGGGTCTTTTTTTTTTTTTTTTTTTTTTTTGCGGTACACGGGCCTCTCACTGTTGTGGCCTCTCCCGTTGCAGAGCACAGGCTCCGGATGCGCAGGCTCAGGGGCCATGGCTCACGGGCCCAGCCACTCCGCGCCATGTGGGATCTTCCCAGACCAGGGCACGAACCTGTGTCCCCTGCATCGGCAGGCAGACTCTCAACCACTGTGCCACCAGGGAAGTCCTGGGGTCAACTTTTTTCAATTCTTTCAGATTCTCTACATAGACAACCATGTCATCTGCATACAAACAGTTTTATATCATCCTTCCCTATCTGTATACCTTTTATTTCATTTTCTTGCATTAGCCAGAACTTCCATTAGCTAGTATGATGTTAAAAGGAGTGGTGAGAGAGGACACCCTTGTCTTGTTCCAGCTTAGCTGGAGAGCTTCTAGTTTCTAAGTATTCTAGTTTCTCACCGTTAAGTATGATGTTTAGATGTAGGTTTTTTGCATAAGTCCTTTATCAAGTTGAGGAAGTTCCCCTGTATTCCTACTTTGCCGAGAATTTTTATCATGAATGGGTATTGGATCCTGTCATGTATCATGTGATATGATCATGTGATTTTTATTCTTTAGCCTGTTGGTATGATTGCATTATTTGGAAACGGGTATTTGTTAAACTATGGTACATGCCTATAACAAAATATAATTCTATCATATATGATTTTTTAGAACATATGACAATGTGGAATGTTATCTGTGATCACCTAAAAAAAAAAAAACCCAAAAGTCGTGTATCTTATACAACAAGATATACAATATGATCACAGTTCATTTTAAAAACTAGTATATGAAAAAAAATGACACATGCAAGGGCATATGTATGTGCATAAGACAAAAGGCCTTGTAGGATTTATACCAAAATATCTAAAGCAATGGGCTATGCTGAGTTAGAGAAGCCTCTCTGGTAGCTGGTAACAAGCCGACGTGAAGTAAAGCAAAAAGGGTCATTTGACATGTAACGTCTAGAAAAGGCAAATCTATAGGGACAGAAAACAGACTGGTGGTCGTCCGGGCTGGGACAGGAGTGGGGACTGACTGCAAATGAGCACCAGGGGCCTCTCTGGCCCCATGTTCTACAACTGGATTGAGTGATAACTCCATAAATCTACTAAAAACCACTGAATTGTACACTTAAAATTGGTGAATTTTATACTATGCAAATTACACCTCCATAAAACTTTAAAAAGAAGGCGGGATGATTTACTATAAAATGGGATGGATGTAAGGGGAAGCCTTCCCCAATCCTGAGGGGGAGCCTCAGTCAGCCTCAGGGAGAGGCCTCACCAGAAATCTATCTGAAACTGTCTCAACCCTTCCTGTTCTCTAGACTGGCCCACAAACAAAATAAAAAACAAAAAACCGTGGCCACCTAGAGCTCCTGCATGCACTCTGGCTACGAGGAACGCCCTCACTGCCTTCCTAGCATGGATGAGGTGTCCACCAGCTACAGCCCACCCAGTTGCCCCAAAGGGGAACAATTCCAAGCTGGGCAGCTGCCCTCTGGGTGTCACAACTTCACAGGCTTTTCCATAATGACCCTTGTGGTTGACTATACTTTGGTGCTTGCCACCCCCCTCCCCTTGGGAACCACATATCCAGTATTTGTCCTTGTGAAGCGCTCCCTCCGGCGTGGTCTAGGAGTTCGGCCACGTCACTGGCTCCGGCTGATGGGTCAGCAGTAAGCACGATGCAAGCAGAGACTTGAGAAGCACTTGCAGTGGGGTCTGTCTTCCTGGAAAGTTGGAAGAATGTTCCTTCTTGGAACCCAGCTACCTCGCCATGAGGTGGTGTAAGCAGTCCCACGGGGAGGCAGGAAGAGAACTGAAGCCCCCCAGCCAGCACCCCAGCTGAGCTCCCAGATGACAGGGGCTGCCCCAGTGCCCCAGCCGGCACCACATGGAGAGAACCAGCCAGAAAACCCTCAGAATCCCAAGAGAAAAGAAACTGCTATGGTGTTAAGTGGCTAGAGTTTGTGGTGGTTCCTTCTGTAGCACTAGGTAACACAGACATCCTTTGGCCTCTTGGTCACCAGAGAAGTCCTGGTGAGTGTTGAGAAGCGCCACCTGTAACACTGAGTGCCCGGTCCACCTGCCCAGGACACCCTGCTGTGCCCCTGGGGAGGCAGGAGCTCTTGCCAGCATCTAACTGAAGGGTGACAGACAGGCCCTCACTTAAGCTCAGGCCACTGCGGAACCCACTCTAAAAGCCGCTTCCTCAAGGAGATATGAACCTAGAAGGCCACGACGCATTGTCTGGATACTAAGACCAGGGGTGCAAAGTCTGAGTAGCAGGGTACTGACATATCTTCAGTGAACCTCTCCATAAGACACGTACTTGCGAAGTGAACCCTGCCTGCCTTAACTAAAAGTTAACCTTGCCAGAAACGGGACTTATGTCCATGGTATTCCTGCCCGAGTGCCTACAGAACCTGAACAGGAGCAAAGAGCAGACACCCCCAAATCCTGGGACACTGTGCAAACCAACTAGCCAGGACGCTTCAGAAATGTCCACATTCACAAAGACTTGGGGACGGTTCCTGATCACAGGAGACAAAAGGAACCTGACAGCTGAATGTGACCTGCAATCTTGATCTTCTTTTGCTATAAAGGGCAGTATTAGGACAATCAGTGAAATGTGAATTAGGTCTGTACATTAACAGCAAGAGATCAAGGTTAACTTCCCTGATTTTGTCACTGTACAGCAGTTAGGTAAGAACATTCCTAGCTTTTATTAAGGGTAAAGGGGGCACAGTATCTGCAACTTACTTTTAAATGGTTCAGAAAAAAGTGTGCATGTGCACACACACGTATGTGTACAGGGGGCACAAACGTGTGAAATGTTAACATTTAGGGAACTGGGATGAAGGGTACCTGGGAACTCTGTACTCTTTTGTAACTTCTCTGTCAAGACTGAAATTATGTCAAAATTAGAATAAAACATTTCTAAGATACTGTTTGGTGAGTCATTCCTTTTGAACCTTTGTTCCAACCACCCAGCTGGCTCCAGAAAGGTCTTCCCTCCAGTCTGAACAGGGCTAGTTACTGCTTTTTGGCTCACACGCCTCTGAACATCTGATGAAGTTTCAGGCCCCTCCCCCAAAAAAACATTCAAACTCACACACACCTGCCTTTGCACACGACCACGAACCCTGACCTGGGAGCCCAGCAAGGAAAACATGGAAGGTCAGAGTGGGAAGCGAATCAGCTCTGAATCCAGGCCACCTGTCAGGGTCCAGGGGCTTTAGGCCCTGGGGAAGAGTTCCTCCCCAATGTCACACACCCCGCAGGCAGGGAGGGGCCGGCGCCAGGACTGGGGTCCTGTCCTCTGCTTTCTGTCTGTGCGCCCTGGCACGGACTTACTCATCCTCTCAAGCCCACTTTCTCTTCCCTAAAATTGAGGCAACGGCACGACCACCTCATGGAGTCGCTGGGAGAATTCAGAGCTCAGGAACGGGGCTGACGTTTTTCCTACTCCTAGCACCTTGTACCTTGTCTACTCAGCGATGCCCACCCCCAAGCCCACCGGGCTGGGTGCTGGGTGCTGCTCAGGGCAGCCAGTGGCACAGCCAGGAGGCCCCGCCTCAGGCTTATGCCCCAGAGGCCCCAGTTGCCAGCAATTCTTGTTTTTCCTGATACCCTCTGAGATCAGGCCTTTGCTTTCCATCCCACTTGGAGCCCACTGCCTTTTGCTAGACATAACTTTGATTTAATGTAGCCTTTAGCCACATTCACTTTAACTAGAATACTAGACATTTTGGCCAAACGTGAACATACGAGCAGTATATCTGCTTTTCAGCCGCCACTCACCCTCACCTGGAAGTTCTCTCTCAAAATGACACGAACTATAGGGTGTCACTCAGAGTGCAGATCGGTCTATCTTGAAGCCCTGGAGTTTCACTGCGGAGGAAAGTATGAAAGGGCAGGTCCATGGACACACACACACCCGGGGGCACATACGGGCTGGGGCTCAAACCGCCCGTCTCCCACGAGTGTCAGCTCTTCCTCGAGCTCTGGGGTGAAAAAATCCATCACTTTAGCCATAAAACAGACACACTAAGATAGTAGAATATAACATACCTGTAATCTTAAGAACCTAAACCTTAAAGGCCAAGCAGGCGGCAGGTGACAGCCGATCCCTCCCAGCCTGTTGGGGGTCCCCGCAGGGTCAGGTTGGGAAATGCTGATTTTGACCCTGTGGAAGGGGAGAGGGTGAGAAGGAGCCCAGAAGACTCCTTTTTGGAGGCTGACCATCGCTGCTTTGATCCTGGCACCTGAGTGACTCGGCGTGTCCAACCCGGGGCCTCATGCGGGAGAGGGGAAAGTGAGCCCCGATCCCAGCCAGGTTAACAGAGATAAGCGACAGGACAGCTGCAGACTCTCCCTGCAGGGGCGACACACATTCCCCTGGAACGAGGGCATTCAAGCTCCCTCTAAGCACAGCCTCCAGAACACAGATGCTGTGGTCCACGGAATACCAATGCAAACTTTGAAATGTGCAGTTTTCTAGAGAGTGTTCAGCCTTTTTTGGATTCTCAAAGGGATTCATGTCCCCATAAGATAAGAACTACTGCTCTTAATTAAAAAGAGTTTGAAAGCAAACTGATGAGATTGAAGCTCTGGCCATGGGCTGTCACAAGGAAAGATTTTTATTTGAGAACATCGGATACTTCTGGAAATGTTCCTGCTAAATCCAAAAACACCTGACAGTCCAGCTCCAACACTCACAAACCCACCAACAGCCTCGTTCCGCAGACAAGACGGGACCGTCCATGGCCGGCTCCCCTCCCACCGCCGCTCGTCTCCATCCGGGGGCACAACTGAAATGCCAGGCCACTCAGCTACTCCAGCCACAGGAGGGGAGAACAGGATCCCGCCTCCCAGGCCAGGGCCCCGGTGGGGGATGCTCACGGGGGCGCAGCTGAGGCGACGTCACACACAAACACCATGACCAAAGTCAGCGAGTGCCCGAGGGGTCCCCCTGGCTTCAGTGACAGCACAGCCAGGCTGGGACGGGCTGGCGTCCCCGTGTGATCATCTCACCACCCCAGGACAGCACAGTGCCTCTGAAGGAAGCACCGCAGGAACGCTTAACTGCGATCACACTTCTCACACTTTAAACGGGACAGAATCTCTCTCCCCAAGAACATCAGTTTGGACCTTCCTGGCTCAATAGGCTGTCGGGCAAAGGACAGCGCACCTGCCAGTCTTAGTTGACCGTGGAATCCAAGGTGTGGGCAAAGGCCTGTCCAGAAAGGGCTGGACAGCGACTCAGCCGAAGGGGCACCCACTACTGACGCCACTGCCCACGCCGCTCTCAGCTCAGCTGAGATCAGAACCCGCAGTGAAGCGAGCACCTGCTGCTGGGGGTCTACTGACGGCCCTTCTCTGCGAGCATGTGTGCCCTCTGTGAAGAGGTGCACTCACATCAGCGTCGCAGCCGCAGGAAGAACGCGTGTTTACACTCCGCGCTCTCCAAGGGGTAATATTTATCGTAAAAATCTAAAACATATTCTTCAGTCTTGAATCCAAACTTCTGGTAGAGCAGCATAGCAGGGTTGCTCGCTGAGACGTGAAGGGTTACGTCCTTGCCCATGCAGGTCTGCCGAAAGAGTGGAAAAACACAAGGTGAAAATGAAAAAGCCGGAGGGAAAATGAGTGGGTGAAGTAACTTTTAAGTGTAGGCAGTCAGTTACAGAAACCAGAGACACTGGGGCCTGAAGCTGAGACACTGCAGCACCAGCAACAGCAGGAAACCTGACCCGTCTCTGCCGCCACCAAAACACTGCGCCGAAACGTTCAAGGCCAAGGAAACAGACGGTAAGCTGGGTGTGTTCTTTTTCTCTTTGGAGCAAAGAGCCAACAGGGATATTTTCACTGTCAATTGTTTTATATTCAATTGCATTTAAATACATCAAGCATATCAATACCAACATCACAACAATCTTGAAGAAAGAGAGGACAAGAGGAGACATTCTGCTTTTAAAAACCAGATGTCATCCTACAAGGGAATCATAAAAATTCCCTGCCTAGACCTTCTAGAAAATGTTAAATTATGTAGCCAGATATGAAATATTAAGACTTCTGTTTAATTATACAACTTGAATACCTTATACAAACATTCTGAATCCCAAAGACACTCTCTCATCACTCCCAAACTTCCCAGAACTGAGGTTTCTGCATTTAGCATGGGCCTAATCCTAGGGGAAAAGAATGATGCGTGCTCTGTCAAGTCTAGGCAAGTTCTTAGATTCTTTAATTAGCTACACAGAAGAAAGTACCCCGAAAGTCACATAAATTCAGAACTTGCTCTTTACTGAGGAGGCACTGAGATCCTGGGCTTGATGAGTTCCTGAGATTTTACAATCCCAGGTCAAAGGCAGACAGATACCTTCTCTTCCCTGCTTCCCTCACATTCTGCATCCAAAGGCATTTTTAGGACAAGAACGAACGACAAGCACACCAAGGACGATAGTCCTCTTTACGCTGCAAGTTGGCACAATCCCAGCAGCCCCGTCGCCGAGCACAACTGACCGTCTGGGTGGTACTGTGTCTGGGCCGGGGTTTATGGGCTGGCTGGGGGCCAGGCACCCACATACAAAGACGGACACTCCTCCTCCCAGCCAGGGAGCCTCAGTAAGGACCAGATGTGCCACCAGAACATCACCCCTGCCCTATCCACTGGCCCTTGCTGGTGAAGGAGGAGGCAGGAGCCCGTGGCCATCCTACCAGGAGAGGGTGGACAGGGGGAGGTCGGCCCTGCGCACAGGGTGGGTGAAGGCAGGGTGTGTTGGGGATAATGGAGACAGCCTCACACTAACTGCCAAGAGAGGAGAGAAGAATGCAATTCCTCGATAGAGGGTTCTCAAGGTTCTCACCAACATCTGGGAATTACTGAGCAAGTTTCATTAAAAACTGGAAAAAAAAAACAACAACACTGAATCATCTCCATCTTCTATTTAAAAAGAATCTTTCCCACGTGACACACAATGCTCCATACCCAATGGTTTCTAAATAAGCTACCAGATAAATTCTGGGGAAAAAAAAATCCTTGCATGTTTTTCTGGTGTTAGTATATAAATATATGGTCTATTTTCCTCAAAGGTGATACAGATATATCAAAGGATGAATTACCTAGAAGGTTCACAGCAACAGTAAATTAAAAACAAGCAGCATTAACAGAATGCACATACCACTGACTGACAGGCTGGCTAAAATGTTTAAAAATACTTAAGAACTAAAAGTCACTTCTCACTTCCACTTCTCAGAGTCACCGCGGTGGTGATTCCAAGAGCAGCAGCAGTTACGATACGGACGGTACAAGTGCTTTAGGCTCCCACTTGTGGTACTTTCCTCATTTCATTTACTACACATGGTCACACACTGATTTCTTTGAAACCTGGGTCTGAGGAGTGACCCTCTTTTAGGGGGTGAAGGCTTCTCTCTGGGTGTTAATAACCTCGTGAGCGACACAGACCGGCTCCTCTTCACTGGCGTCGCCTGGCGCTGGCCTCCTCCTCCTCCAAGCCTTTCAAGGAAACCCAGAGGCAGGTGGGCAGACAGTGAGCAGAGACAACATACCTGAATCAGATGATAAATCATGAAAGTTGCAATCCCTGCTCTTCTCCACTCAGGATGGACAAACAGAAATGAAATGTACGCTTCGTTGTACTTCACATCGGGGACCATGAAGCCAAAGGCAATGATGACTTTCTTATAGAGGACGACGACACTGAAGTCCGGGTACTGCAGGCACTCGGACAGGTCAACACCTATGGAGAGAGGCCAGCAGGGTCAGCCCGGGCTCGGGGGCTAGTGAGCAACAGGCCACTCAGTCTGTGCTTTCAGCTGCATCTGCATGCTAAAACACCCATACTGGAGACAGAGACATTACCATAGACACCACACATTCAGATCATAAAAATAAAAAAGTGAATTTTAGAAAATATCAAAATTAGCATCGCCTGGTCTACGTACATATGTTAAAAGAAGAGAAGCAGGACAGGGTGGGTAGGAGAGAGCACACAAGCTCAGAACTGGACACACCTAGTGTTGCACTCAGCCTCCGGGGCTGTGAGTGCCAGCTGGCGCATCCCTAAGCGCCCCGCCTCGGTATCTGCCTTGGGTAAGATGAGAGATACCCAGATCCCAGGGGGCTGAGGAAAGATCCCGAGACCGCCCGTACACAGACAATTGACAAGCTCTTTAGTACAAATGCCACATTTTACAATAAAGGAGTAAAATATAACATAACTCCATGTTTAACGTTTGGAAGGCGCCCAGTGTAGGGGCAGGAAGTAGCAGACACTCCCAGAATGCTCCTTTCAGCCCCATCCCAGCCCCCACCACGTGCACTGTGACATCCTGACAAAATCTCATCCAGCTCCTAGAAGACACGTATTATTTCCTTTACATTCCAAAGCAGTGCAGTAGAATAGATCCACAAAGAACGTGTTTATATTTAGCAATGAAACTGTGTTCCTTTGATCGATGGCTTCAGAGACAATATGTTAAGGCTGATAAAATCACGAATCACATTGGATTTATTCTTATTTTCAAAGTCTGTGGTTGGGGTATTTGGCTTTTTTTTTTTTAATTTTGCGGTAAGCGGGCCTCTCACTGTTGTGGCCTCTCCCGTTGCAGAGTACAGGCTCCGGATGCGCAGGCTCAGCGGCCATGGCTCATGGGCCTAGCTGCTCCGCAGCATGTGGGATCTTCCCGGACCGGGGCACGAACCCATGTCCCCTGCATCGGCAGGCGGGCTCTCAACCACTATGCCACCAGGGAAGCCCAAGGGATATTTGGCTTTTTAAAAAACAACTTTTGGGACTTCTCTGGTGGCGCAGTGGTTAAGAATCTGCCTGTCAATGCAGGGAACACGGGTTTGAGCCCTGGCCCGGGAAGATCCCACATGCCACTGAGACCATGTGCCACAACTACTGAGCCTGCACTCTACAGCCCGCGAGCCACAACTACTGAAGCCCATGCACCTAGAGCCTCTGCTCTGCAACAAGAGAAGCCACTGCAATGAGAAGCCCGCAAACCACAAACCACAATGAAGAGCAGCCCGTACGCGGCAACGAAGACCCAACACAGCCAGAAATAAATTAACAAAAATAAATAAATAAAAACAATTTTTGGCTGCGCTAACACTCTCAAAAGGACCAGCTAAATAAACAAAGCACACAGAATTATTACGCAAAAATCACAAGTGTCCAAATACGCCCAAGCTATCAGCCTGTGTGGTACTGATGGACATTACCTGGGATCTAGACACATGTGGAAGCAAAAGAGGGTGAATCATTTATTCTGGAACCAGAGACAAACAGGGAAGAGGAACAAACAAAAACACTGTTTATTACTTTAACTGTTCGCTTCTTCTTGACCTTAGGAAAGAAAGAGATGTTTATATTTTAATATTTCTAAGTTAGTAGAAACAAACTGAATGAAATCATATAAGGTTTTGGGGGTCACACGACATACACTAATTTTAAAAACTGCTAAAATGAATGACACAGAAAATGGATCTGCCTAGTTCGGGAGGGGAGAACATACCAGGCCAGAAAAACTCCTGACACATGGAGTTTATCGTCGGGATGTGATTTGGCCGGACATAGCAGTAATCAAGAGGTGCGTCCGGCTCTGGCGTCCAGTGAGGGTCACTCCTGTGCAGGTGGGAACGAATCTGGGACAGCAGCTGCAGTTTGGGTGGCTTTGTTTCATAATCACGCCTCCAGAACCCAGAAAATAAACAAACTGAAGTCAAGAAAAATACCCATTATTCCCAGCCATTTGATTCACAAAACTCTTTGATCTGCTTGAAATTTTAAGTTAGTTTGCACTACTTTATATATGGCGGCTGACTTAACAGCTACATTTCTGGTATGAAATTTAAAATTCATTCTATCAATATTCGTCAGACCCAACCCCTCAGTACCTGCCAGGAACTCTACTAGTGCTGGTAAGCCTTGATGAACAGAATGGGGAAACAGAAACAGCAACCTAATTCAATGCTCTGAGTGCTGGGACACAGGACAGAGCCCAGGAGAGGAAGGCCCAACCCTGCCAGGACAGCTGGGGACCAGGAGCTGGAGGAGGCTCGCGTGCTGCTTCCCCGTGTCTGCCCGGGAGGGCGGGGCTGTGCCAGGAGGACTGCATGACTGGGGGCTGCAGAGCAAGCGTGGTCAGCAGAGACAACTATCAATCATGCACAGCCCAGTGCTGGGGCCTCTCCGGCCAGCTCGGCATCCAGGGCGCTGCCTACACAAGGAAACTCATCAGCAGTCCATATAGAGGCCCGACTGAGACATCATCCCATTTTTTCATTTCACAGACTAAATATATATACAACTTTGAAATTTAAAACAAAACAATAAGTATGATAATCATAATGAAATCTAACAGAGTTAACTTATCCTTGCCTTTTATGTTTCTTTCAAAGGACCATCCTTTCTGCAAAAATGTACAGTTGAAACAAGCCAAGGATGAGACTGGACACAGAGCACAGACTCGGTCCTTGCTGATGCCAGCTCACAGGTCTTGGTCTTTATTCGCTCCAATGGGGGAACAGAGCTTGAAAACCACAAACATTACTCCCCGCGACACACTCGACATCCCAGCTCTTCTCTGTATACCTGATGTAAGGCTTTAGGATCCGAGAAGTGTAAGGGCTGACAATGCTCTGGTCCACAGCCATATCTTCCGACCCCACCAAACGGTACAAAAACTTCGTGGTCTGGTGCCGAAATCCTTTCCTGGATGGCAAGGCAGTCTATGAGAAAGACATGTTAGTTATATAAAAATAAAATTACTCAAAGGATTGGTTTAATTTCCACAGATAAGTAGTACTTACAACATTTTTATGTGTCAGAAAGTAAGTCTTTCCACAGGATTTAACTGGAAAGCTCAAGGTTTAATACAAACTTCATAGGTACCTTCACCTAAAAATGGATATGAAAAACTAATCCCGGTTTAATAGTTTAAAAGCAAAATAATTTAAGAATTTTTAAAGTTTTGTAAAGATTTTAAAAGAGATTTAGACAGGTGAAATGCAGAATTGATCCCTGGATTTACAGCCTCTCCAGGTTTCATGTTGTCTATAAAGGCACAGTCAATCCACTCATCAAATGTTCAGCAGTCCAAGCATCAGGGGGGAGGGGTAACACACACAGGCTTCCTGTCTCATGAGTGGTCTCTGTTATCACAGGGCGTGGGGCTCAATCACTGCTGCATCTGTATGTGGATCTATTACAATATGTCTGTACCAAGTAAATCTGACAAAAGTAGGACTGATGCAGATTATCATCCCTAAAACACAGCATGAGCGGAGAGGCCCGACCAGAGGGTCAAGGGGGACGCAGTCCTGCTCCTCCAGAGGATGTCCCCACAGAAGGGATGCATATGTCTGCTCTCCAGACACTGCTGCTCCAGGGCCCTCGGTCATGTCGTAACAGAACATGAAAATTAGGGTTTTATAGCAAAGAGCTCAGATGGAAAGATTAAAAGGCACATTTATAAAGTGGTTTGCCAAGGGTTGGATGAAGTTTAGAAACCTGAGTTGTTTTTGTAGAAACAGCTTGCTCTTAGCATAGAAAATAACTTTGTTGGAAGAAGAGCAAGAATTCTTTCCTTAATAATTTGCTCTGATTACTTTCCCAAACCGGACACCAAAACTTTCAAAGGCCAACTCTGAAATTCTTCCAGGACTTTGCATTTCAAAGTGAAATTCAAAGTTGTGGTATACAGTTTCCAAATATGGCCCAATGCTTCCTCCTGTGCCTGAAGGTACAAGTGTCTCCCCATATGGAAAGGCGGAGCCAATGTCCCCTCCCCTGGAATCTGGCGAGCCTGGGACAGGCTGGACCAGTCAGAACATGGCATAAAGTAACATTCTGGGACTTCTGAGCCCAGGCCATAAGGGAGCCGGCGGCTTCCACTTCCTCCCTCCTCGAGCCCAGCTGCCACGGTGCCCAGGCGCAACCACTGAAGGGCTGGCGGCCACACGGAGACAGGCTCTGGAGGACCCAGCTCCCAGCTGAGTGGAGCCACAGGGTGCCCCTTCCTTCAGCACATGAAGGAGAAGAACACCCAGCTGAGCCAGTCAACCCACAGACTCAGAAGAAGAATTAAATAGTTACTGTTTTTTGTGTGTGTGTGGTACACGGGCCTCTCACTGTTGTGGCCTCTCCCGTTGCGGAGCACAGGCTCCGGACGCGCAGGCTCAGCAGCCATGGCTCACGGGCCCAGCCGCTTCGCGGCATGTGGGATCTTCCCGGACCGGGGCACGAACCCGTGTCCCCTGCATCGGCAGGCGGACTCCCAACCACTGCGCCACCAGGGAAGCCCAATAGTTACTGTTTTAAGCCACTAAGTTTGGGGCTGGTTTGTAATGCAGCAGAGATTACAGCAGCCCCTGAGCCCATGAAACAGCATCAGATTAAATGGGAAGGTGAGGTCTATGAAAGATCTGGATGCACACAGTCCCCACCCCTTTCCTCTCCCTTGCTTCCACACCAGTTTAAACATCCTCACCTTCTGCCTGGAACACTACTCTAGAATCTACTCCTGGTGAAGGTGCTGTGAAAACTGTTGAAATGACAACAAAGGACTTAGAATATTGCAACTTAGTTGACAAAGCAGCAGCTGCAGGGTTTAAGACGACTGACTCCAATTTTGAAAGAAGTTCTAACTGTGAATAAAATGCTATCCAACAGCACTTCATGCTACAGAGAAATTGTTCATGAAAGGAAGGGTCAATCAATAAGGCAGACTTCACTGTTGACTGATTTTAAGAAACTGCCACAGTCACTATGATCAGTCCACAGCCATCAACATCAAGGCAAGACTCTCCACCAGCAAAAAGATTACAATTCACTGAAGGCTCACATGATGGTTAGTATTTTTTAGGAATAAAGTATCTTTTTAAAAAAAGAATAAATTTATTTCTTTCATTTATTTTTATTTTTGGCTGCATTGGGTCTTCGTTGCGGCATGAAGGCTTTTCTCTATTTGTGGCAAGCAGGGGTTACTCTTTGTTGCGGTGCGCAGGCTTCTCACTGCGGTGGCTTCTCTTCTTGCAGAGCACGGGCTCTAGGCACACGGGCTTCAGTTGTTGTGGCGCACAGGCTTAGCCCTGCACCACGGCTTGAACCCGTGTCCCCTGCATTGGCAGGCAGATTCTTGACCACTGCACCTCCAGGGGAGCCCCAGGAATACAGGATCTTTTAATTAAGGGATATATATTGGATTTTTAGAGATAATACTATTACACACTTGTTAGACTAAACATAACTTTTACATGCATTGGGAAACCAAAATATTCACGTGACTCTCTCTGTTGCAATATTTGCTTTAATGAAGTGGTCTGGAACTGAACCCGAAACATCTCTGAGGTCTGCCTGTAAGCACTCAACAAACAATGTTAAGGATAGGTCTCTTCAAAAAACCAAATGAAGAGATAAAGAAGTAATGGCGTCAACATTCATATTAGGAGTCCAGAAGGGGAGGAAAAAAATAAAGGAGGAATGTATTTAAAGAGCATGATGAGGAATTTCCCAAAATAAAGAAGCATGAGTTCCCCTTCGGGTTCCAGTCCTGCATGTAAGGAGCTCGGAAGTCCTCACTCCGCCATAACAAGGAAAAGGCTGCACAAGCTGAAAATCAACTCTTCTCCGACCCATCAGAGAAGTAAGGTCACAGGGCAAACCGTTGCCTCACAGACTGGAGACAGACAAGTGGATACAGAGGTTCACAACCTACTGGAGTAAGAAGCCTCGGGAAGCAGTGCCGGGAGGGGAAAACCTTACCTGCAATCGATGAACTGCTGGAGGCTCAGCGGGGACAAGTCTGAGAGAACAGAGACCAGGGAGGCCCCGCACTTGCGTGAGTTTTACCTCTAGGAGGCTCTACCAGGTGCTCACTGTGAAGATCAAAGAAAAATCCCCTCCTGCTGCCATTGGCAGTAGCTCATTTTGAACTGTCAGGGTATCTGTGCTCCTTAACAAGGCTGCCCTCGGGCGAAACTATTCTGCCAGAGCCTAACCTACCTGAGGGAAGGGAATAGCCAGCCCCTGCCCCCTCTAGCCACCCTGTCCCACCTAACGGGGGAGGAAAACTGAGAAGCCCTTGTGGAGTCTCAGCCCAGGGGCACACGCTCACTTAGAGACTGAGGACCAATCCAAGGACTGTAGAACACCTCCCCACCACATCACTAATGGCCTATTCCCACAGTGCCTTGTACCCAGGACACCATCCTTGGCTGTCAATTACAAGGCAAGCTAAAAGGCAAAAACACAGTTTGAAGAGACAGAAGCATCAGAACCAGACTCAGATATGGCAGAGATGTTGGAATTACTGAACTGGGAATAACTATGATTAGCACGTTAAGGGCTCTAATGAACAAAGTAGAGGTCATGAAAGAACAGATGGGTAATCTAAGCAGAGATGGAATTTCTAAGAAAGAATAAAAAAGAAATGTTAAGATTAAAACCACTGTAGCAGAAATGAAGAACGGCTTTGATGGGCTCACTGGGAGACCGGACGTGGCTGAGGAAAGACTTCCTGAGCTTGAGGACATGTCAACAGAAAAGCTGCCAAAACTGAAAAGCAAAGGGAAGAAAGACAGAACGGAACAGAATATCCAAAAACTGTGGTACAACTACAAAAGGTGTAACATATGCATAATGGGAATAGCAGAAGGAGGAAAAAGAAACAGAAGAAACACCTGAAGCAATAACAACTGAGAATTTCCCCAAGTTAATGAGACACCAAACCAAAACCACAGTCCCAAGGAGCTCATAGAATAAGGAGGATAAACGCCAAGAAGCATGTCAGACACGTGTAACTGAAAAAGAAGAGGTGCCAAGCAAGATAAATGAGAGCAAAAAACACTGGAAACGCATGAACACAAGTCAAGATCAAAAACCAAGGGAAAAAATCGGAAAGCTACCAGGACATGGGACAATAAAAAAGGAGGCCACCTACAAAGAAACAAGAGTAAGCCTGACATTGTGGCTCCAGGAACGACACTACAGCAAGACGATCATGGAGTAATAATGCTAAAACGTTAAAAGAAAAAATGACAATTTTATATCCAACTATGTTAGCATTTAAATGCAAGAATGAAGTGAAGATCTTCTGAGGCATACTGGTTTAAAAATTAACCTCAGGGCTTCCCTGGTGGCGCAGTGGTTGAGAGTCCGCCTGCCGATGCAGGGGACACGGGTTCGTGCCCCGGTCCAGGAAGATCCCACATGCCGCAGAGCAGCTAGGCCCGTGAGCCATGGCTGCTGAGCCTGCATGTCCGGAGCCTGGGCCCTAAAACGGAAAAAGCAAAAAAAAAGAAAAGCCCGCGCACAGAAAAAAAAAAAAAAAAAAAAAAAATTAACCTCAAAAAGACCGTATTTTAAAGAACTATCAGAGGAAGTACTCTAGCAAGAAGTTAACCCAGAAGAAGCAATGGGAAGTGAGACTGAGTGAATACTTTAGTGAGATTTACTGGTACCTAAACAAGCAACACAAAAGAAAAAAGGCAAAGGAGAGCACGCAAAGGCATTTTTTTGTTTGCAGGGTGAAGAGCACATGATCATATTAAAAAATTAATAGAGAAAAATCAATACATGTCTTAAGTTAGGACCTATAAAAAGAATAAAAACAGAACATACAATTTTCTTTATAGAAAAGATTCAACATCAAATAGACTATTTTCTTTGACTAGACATAATATAATTTGACTAGAAATTTAATTTGACTAGATAATTTGACTAGAAATTAAATATAATTTGACTAGAAATTAAATCAATTACTAAAAGATACTGTAAAAATTCTCATGTATCTAAGAAAACTATGAGCTATTTACCACTAAATAACTCTTGGGTTAAAGAGGAAATGCTGAGAAAAATTACGAAACACAAAGTACTGACTGGATAAAAAAATCACATCATTTCAAAGGTCATGAGTCATGGCTAAAATATAGAGACAGTTATAGCTATGAATATATTGATCAGAAGACAAGAAAGAGAATGGATTGAACAAATGCATTTACGGCTGCTCCCCTATGTAACTGCATTAAAGTGATACTAAAATTCCAGGTTAAGATGGGGGATTAAACACAAACATCCAATTTTATTTCCTCCCAAAACCCAACTACAAGAAACAGACTTAAAAAAAAAAAAAAGACGAGCAGGCAAGAACAAAAAGATCAGGAGAAGAAACCAAAGTAACTGGGAAGCAGATGGACACAAAGTAGCAGATTTAAAGCCAAAATCCCAAGCTGGCTTTCAGTGAAGTGAGAACCGGCCCAACCTGTACTGCAGAATCCTCCTAAATTACGTAGGTGGCAGCACCAGGTTCCTCTGGAACTGGGAAAAACTAAGGAGCAGGTAAAAGCTGTGGGTGGAGCAGGAAGGCCCCAAACCTCCAACCCCTCTCCCACCCGCAGGGTGGCTGCCCTCCCACAGGAGTCTGGGGCCCAGATCTACAGAAGGCCTAACCAGGCTCCGGACGGGCAGCTCACGTGGCACTGAAGGGTGAGGCCTGCACCAGCTGAAGGCTGAGACCCCCCTCTCCCGGTGGCCACGAGGGTCCCGAGACTGAGGAGTCTTCTACAGGGACTCTGACTGGCCTAAGGGCCTAAAGGAAGTAATACTGGGGGTCCTTGGCAGAGGACTGACTGGCCTAGAATTCCCGGTTCAACCTAGCTTTCCCGAAGACTCTGAAAGCACTGCTCCACTGCCGGCTTCCTTCCAGTATTGCTGTTAAGCTGGCGCTCAGCTTTACCCAGCGCTAGCTGGGGATTCTGGTTCTAAATTCAAGGCCTTTCAGACACACAAGGTCTCAACGTTTACTTCCCGGGCAGCTTTCCTCTGGAAGCCACTAGGATGTGCTTCACTAAAGAAGGGAGTAAACCTATGAAAAAGTAAAGATGGGGAGCAGGAAACAGGGGGTTCAATCCAGCAGAGGGGAAGATGGGGCTCCGGCGAGGGGAGATGCCAGGACCACGATGGCGGCCAGTACAGAGCAACAAGTGTGACTCAAGGGGCAGACATCCTGAGGCTACCGTCACTAAGCCTCTGCCCCACGGGACCGTCTTGTAAACCTGAGGAGGCTTGTCCGTGCTTAGCTTGGTTCACAACGCATGTGAGGCTCCCCTGCTCCCTCCACGGGCTCCCTGGGTCAGTGGAGGACACTTACCCCACAGATAACCGCCCTGACCTCTGACAAGCTGGAGGGAAGCACGGCAGCCCTGATGCAGGACAGGGACCCACCCCCCGGCAACCCCGACCAGATTTCCGCACATTCCCTGGTACACACTGCAGCCCGCTGATGCTCAGACTCCCAGGACTCCTTAACGACCTTAGCCACCGACTTCCCGAGGAAGGGGTCACGTCACGGCAGCTGAAGCCAGAACACGACTGGACGAGTTTCCTGAGGCTGCCGTATCAACACTGCACAAACAGGGGGCCTTAAACAACAGAAATGTATGTATTCCTTCTCTCATTGTTCTGGAGGCCAGAAGCCAGCCATCAAGGTGCCAGCAGGGCCGTGGTCTCTCAGAAGCTCTGGGTGGCAATCTATTCCATGTCCTTCTCTTGGCTTCTGGCGTGGCTGGCAAGGCTTGCTGCCCCTTAGCTCTGCAGACACATCACTCTAAAAGCTGTAAAAGCTGCCTCAGTCATCACATGGCATGTCTCCTGTGTGTCTCTCCTCTTGTAAGGACAGAAGTCACACTGGGTTAAGGGCCCAACCTACTCCAGTGTGACCTCAGCTTAACTACTTATACCTACAAAGGCCCTATCTCCACATGAGGTCACATTCACTGGCATCAGGGGTCAGGACTTCAATATACACTTTTGGGGACACAATTCAATCTACATCAGTGACCCAAAAAGCCCGTAAAGTTTATCTTCTCCTGGAAGCCTTCATCTAATAGCAGCAATTTCCTTGCACAGCTCCATCTGTGCTTCCTACTTAGTTTGCAAAACAAATAAACAAACAAAAAAACAACTAAAAGTACATTGTTTAGGGATAAAGACGTTAAAAAGGCAGAGGAATGATTAACACTGAAAGTCAGAAAGTAGCTCCCTCTGGGGGGAGCAAGCAGTGCCCAGAAGGATCTTTAAAGTGTTTTTAATGCCCTGTGTCTTAACCCAGGAGCTAGATTCATAGTTATTTATCTTATTAACCTCTAAATTATATCCATATGTTCTATGCATTCTTCTATGGGTACGACGCATTTCACACTTTTAAAAATTACAATGCATTTCATACTTTTAAAAATTAAGTATAGGGATTAAAAAGACAAACCTATGAGCACAAAGAAGAGGTGAGCAGATGACAGCAATGAAAGCATATGAGTAACTGGCAAGTGACTAAGACCAGGAGAGCCAAAACCTAAGGCAGGCTAGACTCTGGCGGCTCCAAAGAGATTCTGAGGCAGCCAAGGGTGGAAGCTCTGTCCTGAAAACAGGGAAATTCAGGTGAAGTTTAACAATGGCGTGGTCAGCTCCTGGTCCTCCCTATGAGGCTTCTAGGATGTAGGCAGGCAGGTTACTACTTCCCAGGAAAGGAAAGCTGGGAAATAGGGAAATAAAGAAAATTAAGGGGATCCAGCTACAGCAAGGGTCTTTGGCAAACTACAGACCCCACAGGCCAAATCCAGCCTGCTTTTGTAAATACATGTTATTGGCATACAGCGACGCCCATTCATCATGTATCATGTACGCTGCTCTCACACTGCACAGCAGGGCTGGCCTGCAAAGCCACAGCTACTTACTATCTGACCCTTTACGGAAAAGGCTTGCAAATCTCTGGTCTAGAGTGTCCAATATCCAAACAAGAGGGGTGCTCTAAAGAGACAAACCAGAGAAAACAGAAGCTAGGAAATTCCAGAACTCAAGAAGGAGCGTTTCAGGGACTTCCCTGGTGGTCCAGTGGCTAAGACTCTGCACTCTCTATGCAGGGGGCCTGGGTTCAATCCCTGGTCAGGGAACTAGATCAAGCATATCATAACTAAAGATCCTGCATGTCGCAAAGAAGATCCCATGTGCCACAACTAAGACCCAATGCAGCCAAATAAATAAATAAATATTATTTAAAAAAAAAAAAAAAAAAGAAGGAGCATTTCAAATGGCAAGGCCCACAGATCAAAGGCCCAGCCCCAGGTAAGAAAAGCCCCACATGTGGAATCATCACTAGGTAATATCAGAACACTGGCAACAAAGACCGGACCCCACTAGTGTCCAAAGAAGCAGATAGGAAAATGTGCAGAGTCCAAACAGGCAATTCACAAACAACTAGGAAACAGGAAAAATGTTTAACTTCACCTGTCATCAAAGAAATGTAAATAAAAAACAAGGCTTCATTTTACAGCCATCAGATTAGCAAAACCAGTTAAAGTATGGTTAGTAGCAAACTCCACCAAAGATACAGGAGAGAAGCTGCCTTGCTCCTGCCGTGGGAAGACGGATTCCAGCACTTCTGGGTGGAATCAACTGTTCCCGGGAGCGCTCACACACAGGCATCCTCCGGCCACGCTGACCCACACTAACCCCAGCTGCTCTTTCTGCAGGGTGTCACCTAACTACACAGATGTCCACGTGACTTCACTCCTGCTCAGCTCAGTGTCCAGTATGCTGTATGTCCTCAACAAACCTGTCCATCAAAGCCACGACCCAAACCATGTACAGCCACCCTCAGGGACTAAGAGATACAAAGAAAACATCTAGGTTCCTTCTGGAATCCCCAAAAGGAAAACAAAAATCCAAACTCAGATGTATGAAAGGATGTTCATATTGGACAAATAAAAAAAAATACAGCCCAGCCATTTTTGTACCTCTCTCCCTTGCTGTTTTCTTCCACATGCCCACGTGCTCCTTGGAGCTGTGGCCCCAGGAGCTGGAGAGCGAGGCCAACACTTACCTGGTACCGGTCAAGGATTCTGAAGTCCTGACAGGTCGTCCTATACATGGCTTGTCCAGTTGGAAGCCTGGAAACTCCTTCTTTGGCCCCATAAATCCCGTCCACTAACAGAAGCGCGGCATTCACAACCTGATCCAGGTCAAAGAGCGGCAGCCCCCGGTCCCTCTTCGCCTGCCGGACAATCAGCTTCCGCTTCAGCCGCCGGGCCTCCGGGGTCATGGCCACGGCCCCAGGACAGGCTTCCAGCCGCTTGAGGAGCAGCTTCTCCTCGTAGATGCTCACAGGGGTGAACCTGGGCCCTTTGGGCTTCCGGTCCTTCTCCAGCACGGGCTTCCTTTTCTCTCGAGCCCTTGTTTGCAAGGACGTGTTGGAGTCTGTGTCCTCGCTGTCGATGTCCATCCTGTCGGGCTTCTCCTCCTCACTCTCCACCTCCTGCTTGATCTGCTCAGGGGCTCTGACCTTCTTCCTGCCTCCAACCCCTGGCCCCGAGGCAGCCGAGCCGGGAGGGGGTGGGAGGTACTCCATCCCAGGGTCGATGACACCATCGCCTTCCATCTCATCGTCATCTGCGCAGAGCAGAAAGCAGGAGGGGAATGCAGACCCACCGCCCACAGGGACAGCGCACACACTGCCATCAGAGCCACACACAACCCAAGAGACGCGAGGACGGGCCGTCTTACCGTGAAACAAGGCTTGTGGCGGCATCACGTCTGGAATCAGATCGGCTTCTGAGAGCAGGCTGGGCGTGGCTGAGTGAGAGGCAGGGGTCCCAGGGGCAGAGAAATCCAGAGACGGGGAAGGAGATGGGCTTGTCAGCGGGGTGCGGTCGGAGGAGCTCAGGGACGAGAAGTCGATCACTTCTCCTTTTTCCAGAATCACATCCGGCCTACGTCCTCGGCTGATGAACTTCACAGGCGTCGAGGAGGTGCTGCGGTCAAGAAAGCCAGCCGCCTCTTTCTGGGCTCTCCGGATGTCCTTCGCTTCCTGAGTGCGAGACCTTTTCTCTTTCAATTCCATGGCAGATTCCACAGGATTCCGACTCACCCGCTTTCTAAGTCCCTCGACAGTAATGATGGGATCTAAAGTTGGTTTCGAGGCTGCTGGAAAAGAATAAATATCTAAATTTTTTAATAGCTATTCAATGTTAGCTTCTTCTTCTACCTTACTGTGACTCTACTTCCATGTTTGAAAGAGATAAATGTTCAATGAATGCCCTAAACTAAGATTTAGATTTCTCTTAACCAGGAAAAAGGAATTATAATGCAAACATAAACACTTCTGCACCATCTTTCTCCTACTGGAATTGGTAAACGTTAAAAGTTTGATAATGCTCAGAGAGTGTAGGGGGAAAATGGATAGTTCATGCCTTTTTGATAGGGCATAAATTTTATTACAACTTTTTGGAGGGTAATTTGGCAATATGATTAAAATTCTGAATAAATATGCCCTTTGATACAGCAACCTATTTCCAGGAATTTATCACAAAAAACTGGCAAATGTGTGTAATTACAGTATTGTTTAAATACCAAAAAAGGACAGAAATAACCAAAATGTCCATCAACAGGATAAAGGTTTAATAAATTATCACACAGCCATTCAATGGAATGCAATGAAATAAAAGAAAATAGGGTAGATCTACATGTACTGTTATGGGAAGATGTCCAATGTATACTGGTAAGTGGGGAAAAAAATGGAGAACAAGTAATATAGTATGAATCAGTTTATGGGGGTTTTTTTAGTAAAAAAAATGCTTCAATATGCAGAGAGGACTTCTGAAAGCTTCACAAGAGACAGCAGTGGCTCCGCTGGAGTGAATCTGCAGGCAGGGTGGGCATGTGGGGAACTTTCAGACTTTACACCTTCAATGCTATGAGATTTGTTTCCAATTATATTTTGAAAACTTTAAAAGGTCATTAAAAATTTTTCAGATAAAAAAATCAGATCAATGTGTGATATAAGGAGCTACTGTTAATTTTTTACAAGTGTGAAAATGGCATTATGGTTAGGCTACAAAAGAGAGTCCTTATGGATAAGAGATAAATCATGAAATATTTAAGAAGGAAGTGCTGATGCCTGGAAGTTGCTTCTAAATAATCTGAGGGTGGGGATGTGTGGAGGGTTGAGAGAAAGGACCCAGGGGCCAAGATAAAATGAGATTGGGACGTCCCAGGTGGTCCAGTGGTTAAGAATCCGCCTTCCAATGCAGGGGACGAGGGTTTGATCCCTGGTTGGGGAACTAAGATCCCACATGCTGAGGAGGAACTAAGACCCGCAACTAAGACCCAACACAGCCTAATAAATAAATAAATATTTAAAACAAAAAAACAAAAAAACCAAGATTGCCAGTGTTAACTGCTGAAGTAAAGACAAAGGTACCAGGGGATTCGCTATATTACTTCACTATATTACTTCACATTTGTATATTTAAAATTTTCCATACTAAAAAGATTAAAACCATAAATAAACAGATTGAAAATAGACAACCTTTCAGATACTAAAGGAAATTTATTAAACTGGTAACTTGATTAGGCAGTTATAAAACATTTTTTGTATAATATTTATTTACGGCATAAAAAACTGTGTTAGAATAAAACTGTGGGGCAGAGCAGCTCCGGGGAGGCAAGGGCTCCGTGCCTGGTCAAAGCGGATTGTCTACACTGGCACCTCTCAGCTCACGACAGTACCTTTCACTTTCAGAGTGGAGATGGACAGCTTCTCTCCCTCGGGTTTCAGGGTAGGGGGCCTGTTGTGGACGAGCTTCCACCATCCCGGTTCTCCAAATTCCTGAGCTCCTGAGCGGAAGTACGTGGGGCTCCCCACGCTAAGGCAGCCCGCCACCGTGCTCCACCAGGTGGAGGTCTTTTTCCTGGAGAGTCCAAGAATTTAAAAATTATTGGCTTTTCAACTCTATCCTTACATAGACAGTGCAGTCTCTGCCTCCAAGTCTGTGATAGGCTATGGAACTTCCCCTCTTTGAAGGAACAGAGCACAATGGATAAGGGAGAGGCTCGGGGTTCTGCGTGGCTTCAAATCCCAGCTCCACCACCTTCTAGCTGCCTCAGTTTCTTCATCTTTAAAATTAGGATAATAGAATGTGCAAGACTGCTGTGGCGATTAAATGAAGTTAATTCAAACAAAGCTCATAAAACACTTCTTATCCATGATTATGGAGTTCTACAGGCTAATTTTATTTAACTTGAGCTGCTTTTATGTATGAGTTAAACACAACTCTCAGGAAAGAAAGCAGGAGAGTCATTAGCCCTGGTAAACAGTTCATTTTACCCATGGAGGAGGATGCATCCCTCAGTCTGCTACTTGCCTTCGCATAGTAGAGTAGGAATAAAACTATATGGTATGTCCCACAAACACAGAGTTGAACCTTGGGGGAATTACCAACTCTGACCAAACCCCCCCAAAATACAGCAAGCGTTTCAAAATAACTACACAACAGTGTATACAACAAAAATTTTAAATGATATGTAAAATGTCAACTATTCAGGTTCCTGTTAAAAGTGATTTTTAAGGAAACTGTTCTATTTCCACCTTGAAAACATAAATCAATGACCGGAAATCCTAAAGAACAGTTCTTCATAAGAAAGTCAGTCTAACAGATGAAAAATACTGCTAGGGAGGCAAGAGAAAAAAGTATCCTTAGGAACAGAGATGTACTAGAAAAATACAAACCAAAAGAACCCCACAAAAAACAAAAAAACTTTATAAAGGCATGACCACATATCTGAGACAGGAGAATGACCCCCAGCATTGTGGGTCAGAGCAGAACGAGGTCTCACCTCGTTCTGACCTTTCTAGGCCCCCCTCCTGTTGCCCAGCGGTCTGACCAGAACGAACCCATCCCACTTGCTTTCTTACACTGCCCAACACTGTCCCACAGGCCCCTTGGGATCTGTTCACTTTTCTTCCCATTGTCCTATTTGGCTTTGAATCCCTCTGGTGAACTTTCCATTTCAGTTATTGTACTTTTCAGCTCCAGGACTTCTTATCTCTTTATTGATATTTCTGTTTTGTCCATACATTGCTTCCCTGATGTTCTCCACCTCTTCCTTTAGTTCTCTGGGCATCTCTAAGACAGCTCTTTAAAGTCTTTGTCCAGTAAGTCCACCATTAGGTCTTTTTCAGGGGCAATTTCTGTTAGTTTATTTTTTTCCTTTGAATGGGCCATACTTTCCTTGTTCTTTGTATTCCTTGTGTTTTGTTGGACAGTGGACATTTGAATCTAATAATGTGTTAACTCTGGACACCAGACTCTCCTCCTTCCCCGGGGTTTACTGGTTTTTGACAGCTGCAGGCTGTCTCTGTGCCAAAGATCAGCCGGAGCAGAAACTCAACGTCCTCTCAGTCCATGTCTAAGCCTGTGCCTCCCCCGGACATGCAGGGTGGCTAATTCCCCTGTATATGTGGGTGCTTTTGAATGTCTTAGTCTTCAACGTCTGGCTCCAAAAAGGGGACAAAGAGGAAAGTGAAAGTGGGGAGGTAGGTGCCAACCCTATAAGTCCCTTTAAAGTCACCTCAGCCAGACGGGGAGGGGCTTGCAACAATGGAGGAGGTGCAACAACAAAGGCCGCCCACGCCTTTATCAGCACCTCTGTGATCAGAAGCAGCAGTCAGTGATCAGCACAGATATGATATTTGGAGGACAGCGTCCTTTGTGTCCACCCCGGATCCCATACTGTATGCAAGCTGCTCCAGGAATATGTGCATGGCTGTCTGCCACAGTTAAAACTGGCCAACGCTGATTGTAATTTATGGTCCAAGGCTTCCTCTGGAAGTTGCAAGCCTTCAGCTGACTCCAGAGTTCCAATAAAGTTACACTGGATTCTGCCAATGCAACTGCTACCTAGGTGGGCAGACAGATTTCTGGTGCTTCCCACTCTGCCATCTTCCCAGAACCCTCATCATACAGGCATAGCTCATGTTACTGCACTTCACAGATACTGTGTTTTTTAAAAACTGAAGGTTTGTGGTAACCCTGAATCAAGCAAGTCTATCGGTGCCATTTTTCCAAAAACATCTGCTCACTTCATGTCTGTGTGTCATATTTTAGATCTTGTAGTATTTCAAAGTTTTCCATTATTATTGTATTTGTTATGGTGATCTGTGATCGGTGACTTCTGATGTTACTCCTACAACTTGCTGAAGTCCAGACTATGGTTAGCATCTTTTAGCAATAAAGTATTTTTTTTCATTTATTTTTTATTTTTGGCTGAGTTGGGTCTTTGTTGCTGTGTGTGGGCTTTCTCTAGTTGCAGCGAGCGGGGTCTATTCTTTGTTGCAGTGCACGGGCTTCTCATTGCGGTGGCTTCTCTTGTTGCAGAGCACAGGCTCTAGGCATGCAGGCTTCAGTAGTTGCGGCTTGCGAGTTCTAGAGCACAGGCTCAGTAGTTGTGGTGCACAGCCTTAGTTGCTCCGCGGCATGTGGGATCTTCCCAGACCAGGGCTCAAACCCGTGTCCCCTGCATTGGCAAGCGAATTCTTAACCACTGAGCCACCAGGGAAGCCTAAGTATTTTATAATTAAGGTGTGTACACTGCTTTTTTAAAAATAATGCTATGCATACTTAACAGACTACAGCATAATGTGAACATAACTTTTATATGCAGTGGGAAATCAAAAATTCATGTGACTCACTTTATTGTGATATTTACTTTACAACAGCAGTCTGGAACTGAACCTGCAACATCTCTGAGACATGCCTGTATAATATTTTTAATTTTAAATACTATGAATGTGTTTTATCATATTTCATCAAACATAAGGTCCACTGACTTTAAGACACACCGTTTTGTGTACAAGAAGGAAAACTAGCTATCAAGTAAGCTATGACACACCATCACTTCTAAGATGTATCCAGCTGTCAGAGATGTCAAAGTGTGAAAAACTGTTTATCTTAAAATCAATGAAATATGGTAATAGAAAAAATATCCAAACTATTCTTCACTAATCAAAATTATAACTTTGGGAAAAATTCAAGGCCAGGACTGTAAAACCAGATTAAATGACCACATATAAAATAGCAATTAAACTGTAGTAATTAAGCTTTTGTGTACTTTTTAACTTGCTTCTACAATAGGTACACAAAGTTATTTAGGTTAGCCCTTAATAAACCTTTATACATTTAAACCTTAATAAAATATTAAGGACATATAAGATCTGAAAGAAAATGTATTCAAATTTAAAACTTCACTATACAGTACACTATTCTCTCAGATCCTATGGCAAATGAGAAATGGTTAACATTAAGAATTTTAAAGTATGCTCCATGGATAGCAGACTAAATCTTTAGCAGCTATGAGAAATGTTTAATTGCGGAGGCAGTGAGTCTGTGTTTTCATACATGGACACATCTGAGCACTGGAGACCACCTCAGGTGAGTGGTTTCGGGGCTTTTCCAATCACTGATGCTTAAAGCAGAGTTCCCAAAGGGAAGGACAGCACTGAGGCAGGAAACTGAGTGCCAAGGAGTCACAGCGTAATTTTTAATTCTCTTTCACTCCTCTGGTTAGATCAAGGAGAAAATTAGTTGCTTTAAATTCTCACTAACACAGTCTCCCTTTTTGATCAAGAAAGAGGCCTCACAAAAAACTCATAGTTTAACATCAAAAAAATGAACAATCCGATTAAAACATGGGCAGAAGATCTGAAAAGACATTTTTCCAAATAAGACATACAGATGGCTAACAGGTACATGAAAAGATGCTCAGCATCACTAATCATCAGGGACATGCAAATCAAAATCACAATGAGCTATCACCTCACACCTGTGAGAATGGCTATGATTAAAAAGACAACAAATAACAAATATTGGTGAGGATGTAGAGAAAAGGGAACCCTTGTGCACTACTGGTGGGAATGTAAATTGGTGCAGCCAATGCAAAACAGTATGGAGGGTCCTCAGAAAATTAAAAACAGAACTACCATATGATCTAGCAATTCCACTCCTGGGTACTTACCCGAAGAAAACAAAACACTAATTTGAACAGATATATGCACCCCTATGTTCACTGCAGCATTATTTACAATAGCCAAGACACGGAAGCAACCCAAGTGCCCATCAATAGATAAAAGGATAAAGAAGATATGAGGGGGAGACCTTCAAGGTGGTGGAGGAGTAAGACGTGGAGATCACCTTCCTCCCCACAAATACGTCAAAAAAACAATTACATGTGGAACAACTCCTACAGAACACCAACTGAATGCTGGCATAAGACCTCAGGCTTCCCAAAAGCCAAGAAAATCCCCACATACCTGGGTAGGGCAAAAGAAAAAACAAGAGACAAAAGAATAGGGACAGGACCTTCGCCTCTGGGAGGGAGATGTGAAGGAGGAAAAGTTTCCACATACTAGGAAGCCCCTTCGCAGGCGGAGACTGCGGGTGGTGGAGGGGGGAAGCTTCGGAGCCACAGAGGAGAGCACAGCAACAGGGGTGCAGAGGGAAAAGCAGAGATTCCCACACAGAGGATCAGTGCCAACCAGCACTCACCAGCCTGAGAAGCCTGTCTGCTCACCCATCGGGGCGGGTGGGAGCTGGGAGTTGAGGCTTGGGCTTTGGAGGTCAGACCTCAGGGAGAGGACTAGGGTTGGCTGCGTGAAGACAACCTGAAGGGGGCCAGTGCGCCACAGCTAGCCAGGAGGGAGACCAGGAAAAAGTCTGGACCTGCCGGAGAGGCAAGAGATCATAATTTCAGAGTGCACAAGGAGAAGGGCTTCTTGCTCTGTGTGCCCACAGACAGCAGAGCACCACCCAAGCGAGCTCCAGAGATGGGTGCAAGCCACAGCTATCATCTCGCACCCCAGAGACAGGCATGGACCACTACCGCTGCTGCCACTGCCACCAAGAATCCTGTGTGC